ATGGGAAAGGAAAGAAAATAAATTAATCTTCCCTTAAGATTTAAGTTTATAAAGTGTATGTCAAAAAGGTTTGACAAAGATAAAATAAAACCTAAAATCAATAAAGTGCTAGATTATGAGATCTCCTAAAGTAGGATTGGAATGTCAATATCTTACCACTAGAATAAAGTGTTGTTCCTTATTAAGCACACTGTGTTCCTTGGGAAGGAATTTATGGATGCTAAAAATAATGAGAGAAAATTTAAACTCAATAAGATTTGAGTAGACTCACAAATCAACACTTTAATAATGAAATCCTAAAGTAGAATGATTACAAAGTATTGTAACTCTCTCACAAATAAAAAACACAAGAATTTCAAAAGTTCAAAACAAATTCGTCAAAAGACAAAAGGGATATGATCTTTTCATCTTAACACATTGTGAAGTGAGCCCTAAAAGGAATGATGAAGCTAATACTTTTGAAATGGCAATGTTAGACATTGATTCTCGTAAAAAGGTAAATAAAAAGGATGTTTAGTTAATACACCCTAATGGTTTCCAATAACATACAAATAAGATTTGCAAAAAGGACTAAAGTCTATTAATAGACTTAAGCAAGCCTCTAGGAATATAAGTCCATGTTTTATAAAACAATTAAAGAGTTTGATTATTCATCAAAACAAAGACATATCTTGTGCATATAAGAAGCTAGTGGGAATCTACTAAGTCATGGTTATTCGACACAACATTACACCTTGACTATAATATTATCATGTTGTAAACCAAATATTAAGGAATCTAGAAGAAATTTTTCAAAGATGACATGTGAGAGAAAGCTACAATCTAAGAGTATAGATCTTTGGAGATAGATCACTTGGAATGTAAGGAGTCTCCCAAGGTAGTTACAAGACATGATACTAAAAGGTTTAGTATAGAACAATCAAAGAAAGTTTTGTTCCAATGTCATATAACTTAATGACCGACAATAAAGGATCCATAGCATAAGCTAAGGAACCAAGGTCTCATCAATGGTTCAAGCTAGAGATAAAAGGGTCGTGGTAACACAAGGATAGAAAGGAACCACACTATGATATCATAGTTGACCTCGCAGTAAGCCTTTATTACAACTAAAACATTTATCCCTCGGCCGATCTTCGAGATTAAGGGGCGTGCTTGATTGGCTCTAATGCAAGTGGGAGATTGTTAATGTTGATGCCCAAGATTCAACCATGTTTGGATGGGCTCATGTTAATGTATTATTACATCATTTATTTTAATAATAATAAAGAAGTCATTCTATTAATTTTTATGTTTACATGTTGATAAATACAAGAGAATTAGATAGAAGTTCTTATGATATGCATTTGCAATAGTGATTGATCAAAACATGTGAGACAAACACTAATACACATAAAATGATATCATTAAATGTCCTAATTCGTAACATTGTCAAGAATGGACATTAACCATATAGACTTGTGAGTGCTATGTTTATGCTATATGATAGCGAGTAGGAGATCTCATACCTATTGACATGGTGATGCCAAAATAAACACTTAGGTGATTTATGTTAGAGAACGTATCACTAGACCTAACTTACTATGAGAACCCATCTGGTTTTAGTCTATGAAAATCTCAATACGATATGGGTACAAATGATCCTTAGACTTGAAGTCGTCATGGTTATCTCATTGGAGGACTTATGAACTTTGACACTCATTTCGATGGACCCATTAATGGGTTGCACGTTGGCGATTCGTTGGGTGCATTAGGAATTCAATGGAGATAGGTGTACAACTAAGATAGGACATGTCATTCCTTGTATACTAAAGGAGTTATCACATTGCACTTCGATAAGTGTCTGCTAAAAAAATTTATGACCATAGTAGGAGTACGTCAATAGAGCATAATTAGTCTACTCTAAGAGCTAAGATATTTGATAATCGAAAAAAATTTATGTGATCATAATTGAACAAGAATAATAACCAAGTTCGAGATCACATTGTGATAAAATTGACATTAGGACTAAATTGTATGGTAACCTTGCTCGTGAAAGGTAATAATGGATTAACTAATCCTCCTAGAGAATTGAATAGTCATTATGCCTTATTAGATGCCAATCTTGATTTATGTATCAAGAGATAAAAGAGAAGTCTTTTATTCTTGATACATTGCCAACATATCTAGGAGCTTATTGAGTCATATACATAATTTTAAGTATTCACATTACAAATGAGAAGCAAAGACATTGGAAAAGGTTTCCAATTATAAAAAGTTCTTATTTTGGAAAGAGTTTCCAAAATAAAAAGTTTTCTATTTTAGAAATCAGCTTTTTTAATTTGGAAGTTAGTTTCAAATTTGAAAATAAATAACCTAAAAGGAAATGAGTTTCCTAATTTAGGTTAAAGTGTATTTTGAGAAATTATTTCCTAATGTGAACCCCACTAAAATAATCTAAGAATATTTATTTGGATAATCCAAATAATTAATTAAGATAAAATAGTTTTGGCCCATTAGATTTAATTAAAAGCTTTAAGATAATTTTGGTAGGAGGATAAACATCAACCTTATTGGATAAGGTTGAATATTTTAAAAATAAACATCAATCTTAATTGACAAGGTTCAATATTTTAAAGATAATAATCAAATAGTATATATATAACTTCTTATCTTTGGAGGATAAGAGAGTAACAACCTAGAGTCCTTTATGGACTCATAAGCTACCCATCTCATTGCCCGTGAAGGATAAGGAAACTCTCCCCCTATATATATAGGAGGAGAGGTGCGGCATAAAATGGCTAATAAAAGAGAGGAGATTTCAGCCAACATAAGAAAAAAAGAGAGAGAAAATTCAGCCGACTCAAAAATTACCTAAGGCACACGACTAAGAGAGAAAATAAAAGAAGAAAATAGTTTTCTCCTAAACCCTAGCAAGAAATATTCTCTCCTCTCTTTTAAGGTTGTCATAAAATTGTCTAGGATTGATGTCTAGAGTAAATACAAAATCAAAAAAGGTGGAGCTAGCACCTCATTAATTTTGAGTGCTTCTTTGTGGATACATGAGCCACGTGGATCATCAATAGAGGTTGGACACTTGGACGACTTTGTTGAAAAAGATTTTAGATCTACACTACAAGAGGTAATCATTTACTTATAGCTTATTATTCATGTATGTATAGTTAGTAGATTCAACGGCTTGATATTGAGGACTTAGATGGAGAAAATTTTTTATTTATTCCGCACCTCCATAGGATGCATGATCCTTCAATAACAAAACTTTACAACAGATTGGGATTTCTCACAACGTCATGGGTTTCTCCACTCGTTCATCTTAATGTACTCGTTAGCCAAGTATTAAGTGTTTCTTCTTATTTCTTGTTTTGTTTTTGACGACTTTTGTACAAAATAACACGGAGATAATGGATTAGAATGTCGATAAAAAAAAAAAAAAGATAAAGACATTGATTATATTCGTATATCCGAAAGTTGGATTCTATAGCTTATCAAATTCGAGTTTTTTTTTTTAAATAGGGTTATTTTAAAACTTATTTACAAAAATAACGTTGTTTTAATCTTATTTATCAAAGTAAGATAGTTTTTATCACATAGATCAAATCCTCTACACATGTCAACACATGCTAGTTTTTTTAATCTTAATAATGAGCCATTTAACACATAGCTTTATTTTTTTCCTAAAAAAATTATGCTATCATCCTAAATCTATGTTCTTCATCTTCTTTTTACAATTGAAAAATCTCTTTACGAACGACCCGAGTTGCAATCATTCATCGATTTGCTATCGTCTCCAACGCCATAAAATCGCCAATTTTTTGAATCCGAAAGCCAAAATGAATTTCTCAACAATAACCGCACTCTTAAAGTATCTCCAATGCTCTCTTTATATTAAGATTTTTCTTTATAATAAAGAGTTTTGATCCAAATTTCATCTCCAATGCTCTCTTTATCACAATCTTTATCTTTAAAATTAGTATAAAGAGTGTCTTTGGCTCTCCAATACTAGAGAGTCTAAATGACTCTTTATCTTATATTTTATTAATGAAAATTACTATTTCCAATGCCACTCAACCTCTTCACCGATAGTCTCTATGAGTTTTATAGATTTTGTCAAAACAAAGAGTTAAATAGAGAGTAGCATTAGAGAGGATATTGATCTTCTATCTATATAATTAATGATACTCTCTATTTACATTAAAAATACTAGTTAAAAGTAAAGAGCACTATTGGAGATGCTCTTACAAGCCAAAACGAATTTCAAATCTCTCGTCTCTGTCATTTGGTTGACGACCGCCTCCACCCACACTCGGCGGGATCGAAAACAGCAAAAGCAAAGGAGAAGGATCTTCTAATCTCTCTCTTAGGTTATCGTCCATTCTCTCATCGAATCTTCATATTCACTATTTCTTCTTTCTTCTTCTTTTTGTTTTTTTCGCTCCTTGTTTACATTTACATTGATTTTTGCTTCTCTCATATTTTGAGAGAAATTCAGAATTTGACTTTTGAACTTGATTTCGATTATGATAAAGCAAATTACTATATTCTCGTTTATTAATTTTGATAAATCTTTAATCTTGTGCCCAAGACCCTAGGTAGACACAGTACTTTTGTGTTATTTCCTGGGACTACTTGTCTTAGCTTCACACAGCGTTGCAAATTAAATCTGTTAGTGCTGCCTCCAGGTCTTGGAAACTGCACGACAAGTTGGAAACTCCCAATTGTCCTCTACACCTGTACCTTATGACCAGATGAAGAGTCAGTTTGAGCTCTTTTCATGACATAACTGAAGTATCAAAACAGGTGCACATAACATCTTTAAAATATACCTTCTAATCCTCTATAAGAATATATGCGTAGATCGCATGCAAGAAGATTTACTTAGTATGTAATCTTTGTATTCCTTTAGGAATAAATATTACTATCCCAAAAAAGAGTAATTAAATAGAAAACGAAAAGCAAGAGTATGTTAAAGAAAATTATGGTGCCACCAATTGAAAATTGTGCCAATGTACAATACATTTCCTACTCTAGAAAGAATTAGCCTGCGCCAAAGGTTGAAAAATATGGAGCTGGACGAGTCTGAGGAGACTACACTGCACGATGTTAACATTGAAGAGGAAATGAGAAGGAAGCAGCAGGCTCGTGAGGAAGCATATGATGAGGACGAGGGCATGCGTCATGGTGGTTAGAGGGTCCAATGCGCCCAGCAGTGAGTGAACTGGATTGCATAGCGTAGGAATGAGGAAATCGAAGGGTTGGCAGTAACTTTGGACTGGAAGCATTGTTAGGGGCACTGTGGTCATCTAGAGTGAAAAAATCAACACTTGTGAAATGTGTGATGATTTTGAAAAATGTTCAGGAACGGCCTTCATTATGGCACAATATGTTACTCTTGACCTTGAAATATGAATGTTTAATGTTTTGTTATCCTAGATAGATTAATGGCTTTATCTTTCGATTTATTGGCTGTCTCCTTGCACTGCTTTTGCCTTCTATATTTTCATTTCCTGCTAGTTTTTACCACAACTAGAATGTATTTAGGGTGCGAAAATCAGAGTGTTGTTTCAACACTTGTTTTCTTGAATCTAACTCAGTTTGTAGAGTTTGAGGTCTAAATTTACCTCAAGCTTACCAACCCCAGGAACCACTTTGCTAGGTAGCATGGATCCAGTAATTGCCAAGAACGGAATATCTCTAGTAAAGCAACAGAGTTCATGCATCTAACAAGGAGAGCGTTGCTTGATACCTGTCTTATAGAGTCTAGTATCCTAAGGAAAAATGGATGAGTGACTATCAACTATCAAGTATATGAACTGAACCTAGCTATGTTTGTGAACATTTTCCAGGAAGGCTAGAGAAGGAATTGCATGAACTAAAATATGAAATCTACATATTCAATTAACAAAAAGATAAACTAAGGGCAAAATGGAAGAAGAAAAAAGAAATCTTGTAGTTAAGAAGACAGCTTGTAAATGAAAATTTCAAACATTGGTATATGAGACATGCACAAGTGCGCAGAATGAGGCTTGGCAATAAGCACAACGTACAGATACGCTTTAGGTGGATGGACAAAAAAGACCAGGATTTGCAGAAACAGCAACCAAAGAGGATAAAAACTGACAGATACATAAGTAGAAATCCTTCACAATGCAAAACAATAAGCACAGAAAAAAGGCCTTACCTATGCGACCAATTCTCATTCCGGAACGGGATAGAGCACGCAGGGCATATTGTGTACTTGGACCTGGTGTCTTTGTCTTGTTCCCACCAGTAGCACGAAGCTTGATACGAAGGGCAGTAATACCAAGTTCCTGCTTCATACAAAAGGAAAACTAGTTAAATAATTTTGCAGTAGAACCTATGGTTCTTTACTATTTAAAAAATCTAATGCTAAATAAAATTGTTTGATTGTACAAGTTAACAAAGATAGATTCAGATTTGACTTATTGGATAGCTTAAAAAGAAATGGAGCAAAAGGATTCACATAAAACCCCATTTAAATGGTCAAGGAATCCTCCAAAATGAGATCATGAATGTAATATTTAAATGAAAACAAGTAGAATGCTTCTTAGCTTTAATATACTAGTTACAAAATTTTCTACAGAAAGTATTCATGTTAGCTACTATTATTTCATGCATAAGTGGAAAGTCTTTTGTGGATCCATAAATTTTGTAGTCAGGAGCTCTTTCTGAAACCATACTTACTTCTCTCATAAACACATAAGAGAATTAACTCATGGCATTCAAGAACAATCTCTTAGTGTGCACCCATTTGAATGAGAAACAGTATGAGAAATCTACAAAGCCCAATGGGAGAGAGAATGGTTGGCGACCGCCTTATTTGCTTAGCCGAATGTCCAAAATTTCCACATTTTAATCCCAAAATCACAGCCAAGACATAGTCATCGGACAGTATGGGAAAAATTCAAGCAAACTTGTGCTTCTCAGAATTAAATCACTCGTTTTGATCTCAGTAAACACAGGCTATCATATTGGATCAGAAATTCAGGAAAGTTTTTACTGCTCCTAACCTGGCAGATTTGAACCTTAAAAAAAAAAAAAAAAAAAAAAAAAAAAAATTCTCTTGGCTATTATTCAAACATCTCAATGGGAACGTGAAATCTTCTTATGTGCTCCTAGACAAGAATGGTATTGCTTGCATTTCTGATTTTGGGTTGTCCCTACTTTTGTACCCAGTTCATGCCTTAGCAAGAAGGGAGGATACAGGGCTCTAGAGCAAGCAAAAATCAAGAGGCTCTCTCAAAAGGCCGACGTGTATAGTTTTGGGGTCTTGTTGCTGGAAGTTCTTATTGGCAGATCTCCTTCACAGTACCCCTCACCAACACGCCCAAGCATTGAGAGAAAACGTAAGTTAGGGCAAAGACAACAAAATAGAGACACAGAAACCATAAGTTAATATATATATATATATATATATTTTAATGTTTCTATCTTTTTAAATTATTATATTAAATATGTATTATAATATTTAATTAAAAAGATGATAGGGATACGTATATAAAAAAATTATTATTATTATTATTATTTTATAAATAAGATTTAAAGTATCTTATTTAAAAAAAATAGATTAAAAAATATTTTATTTAGAGAAAAAACTTTATCAAATTCTATGTATTAGTTATATGCTTTAACAGGGACACCATTATGATGCTTCAAGTTGCAACCATGGATTTTGTAAATAATTTGAGAAATTTTATAATACACAAAGAATATCCAAGTGACATGTACAATAGTTATTCTATAGATTTATTTTAAAAAAAGAGATAGACAAAAGAAAAAAAAGAAAAAAAGAGAGAATTAAAAAACATTAAGCAAACATGAAAATCTTTTTATCACTTTCGATAAATCCGGATGTAATTTAATGTGTCTATCCGTCCGTCTCCTCAAAGTAGATCTATAGAGTAACTACTGTACATGTCACTAGTTACTCTTTGTGTATTATAAAATTTCTCAACTTTCATTGTCACGCATAGAATTGTAATTAAACTAAATTTTTTTTTCCATTTATTAATACAAATTGGCAAAATTATCCTTTAATTATCAATTTCATTAAATCAAAATATAAGGGTTTTTTTTATTATATATAAAAAAAACCATGTAAAACATAGACCAAGTTAGATTTACTTAAGAATTTTAAAAAATTGATGATTATAACCATATAGAGTTGTATAAAAGAAGTACTTTCTTTAAAAAAAAGTAGGGCAAATCAAATTTCATATTTTTCTCAATAAACATATTACAAAAAGAGAGAGAAATTGTCAATTTAGAAACAAAATAATCTGCCTATTATAACATTGTTTAACTAAGATTAAGTTATCATATTTGTTTCTTATAGGCGTAAAAATTAATATAAGTAAATTAGATCCAGCCCGTCCAGTGGAAGGGACGTGATAAAACGATGGATAAGAATCGGATGAAGACACGAGGGAGAGTCACCTAAGACTATTTATGAAAGTTCTTTATGCTCGACTCGTGAAATACTTTTAGAGCGAGCTCTCGAAGATTAACGAAGGCTCTTTCGATTTGAATGCAATCACTAGTTTTTAATATAACAAAAAACAAAGGGTGGGCATAAGGATATTTTTATTATATTCTAAAAAAAATATTATTATGTTCGACCCGTCCACTGAGCGGGGGCATATGATTAGTATATATATTAAATCTCAAACTTTTTTTTTTATAAACGTTAAAGATTTATCTTTTTTTTTCCTAGGATTTATTTTGATTATAGTGCCGTATTTAGGATATGTGAGTTTTTTTTTAGTTGATAATATTAAAGTTAGAAAAATCAGTATTGATTAAAAATTAATTAATTACACAAGTTATTCTCAAATGCAAACTTTTATAACAAAGCTAATAAAATTTTCTTAATCTCAAACTCTTTCTATCTTTTTTTTCTTTTTTTTTAATCCTTAGAAATTTTATTCAATACTCAATTTAGTAAAAAAAATAAATTCAATCCCAAATCCTATACAAAGATAGATAAAAAAAATAAAATTGAATTGTAATACCCGATACCCGTTAAGACCCTCATTAAATAAGTTTAAAGATTTTAAAGGCATATGAAAAATATTTTATGGGTATAAAATAATCATTAAAGGGTTGTTAGAATATTCAAAGCGATTAATATAGTTTTTCATGCTTAATGAATATTTTATTGATTTTTCGTTGCATGAATAGTAACTTTTTATGTGAAATAATTATTTTAAGCATGTTAAATGTGCATGAAAAATATTTTATTTGCATAGAATATTTGTTAGAAGGGTGTTAGATTATTTGAGGTGATTGGATGAATTTTCCGATATTCGGTTATTATTTTATTTGAACGTTACGGGGCATGAATAATGCTTTCTAAGTAAGTTAATTATTTTAAGTGCTTAAAAAGTGAATGAAAACTATCTAATTGATATAAAAAAATCATTTAGTATTTGTAGGAATATTTCATGAACTTAGATGACTTTTTTTATGCATAGGGAATATTTTCTATAGGAATAAATGTATTTCTACACAAAATAATTAATTAGAGAGCTTACATAAGTGTATAAAAATTATGTGAATGGTGAATAAATTCTTATAGGATGTGATTGAATTTATTATAAAAAGAAATTAATTTTTGAAAAGGTGTGGAATAAATTTTATAGGATTAGGGACCTAATTACATAGAATTATGGACCTACTTGCATAAAATTAAAAGTTTGAATTTTCAAATTAAATTAGAAATGAACTTTAGGAATTAAAAAGTTTTTAGAAAACCTTTAAAGGAAGGGACTAAAGTGATCAACTGAATAATTGGAGGACTTATGGGAGAGTGATTGAAGGAAAGATTAACAAATTAAAGAACTAAAATTAAATAAATTTTGGGAGAAATTTTCTCACCTTTTGCTGCCACTTTCAACTCAATTATTTGAGTGTAATTAATGCATGCAATAATGGAGGGTTAAGGATTAAAGCGGATGGTTAGATGGAAGGATGAAAATTAAAAAAATGATGGATGGCTAAGATGAAACCAATTGAAATGCTAGGATTAAAAGCGGGATTAATGGCCAAGACTACGAGCAAAGTAAGGTTGGAGATGGAGTCAACCAAGGAAAAAAGTCTAATTAATTTTGCCTATAAATATGAGAGGTAGGAAAAATGGTTGGAAAATAGCAAAATTAGGAAAAACTCTTGTAACTTTTCCATAAACCTCCACCCAAATTCTCTCCTAAATACTTTCAAACACCTTAAATCATCTAATTAAGCCTAGAATTTTAGTTGGAACACAAAAAATTCCAAGAAGAAAAAATCCCACACTTGGCCGAAACTTTTAGGATAAAAGGGGGAAGAAGAATTTCTCAAGCAATCCAACTTTTCAAGGTTTAATTAGAGCTATTTATGTAACTTAATCTTATCTACACCACAAGAAAGCATTATTGTATGTTAATTGTGATTTTGGAACCCTAATTTTGCATTTAATTAAATTAATTTTGAAAATTAGGGTTAAGGTTAGTTAGGTTAATTTGGGAAAAATTATTTTGAGTTAGAAAATCATGCAATTGAGCTTAAAACATGTTTATTAGGCTTAAAATTGATGGAGAAAAATAAAAAATTCCTAGGGTTACGAGAGAGAAAACATTCGACCATAATGCTCAAGCCGAGGATTTTTGATGTTTTAATTTGTTTAATGTTCTATTGCTTGATTATGTGTTATTTAAGTATGAATTGATTGATTAGTGCATAATTAGCATGATTTTTATGCTCTATTATATTGAACTTTTTAGCACTTATTGTACTATATTATGCTATTTAAGAATAAGATGATGATTTTAGGTTTTGTAGGAAAAATGATGAATGGGAGCAAGGAAACTTAAAACTTAAGGAGGAAAGAGAGAAACTTCAAAGAGCCTTAGAGGAGTCACACGATTGTGTGAAATAACAAAGGAAATAACTACTAGTTGTGTGACTTAAAAGAGGAAACCGTGTGGATTCTCGAAGCACAACAAGCCACATGGCCGAAAAAGCATTCTACATGGTTGTGTGGTGATTGAACCTAGCAAAATTCAAGAAAAGAAGAAGACTACACTGGTAGTAGGCTTTACACATGATTTGTAAAGTCGGATGCTCGTGGCTCTAGGGAAAAGAAGGTATACACGAGCATGAGAAATTCAATATGGTTTACGAAGAAACCTACACGAGCGAAGCGTGGAAACACAAAATGAAGAACAAAGTTACATGACTGTGTGCACGAGTTAGCAAACCATGTAACACTTAATTTTTAAGGCTCTAAACCATATGATATCAAGCAACAAACCATGTGACTTTATGTATCAAGTCATATGGCTATGTGATGCCGACACTTACATGATGTAACCCTATTTTTGAGTATAAATAGCAAAGCTAGGGTATTATTTGGCTCTCTTCCTCTCTTCCAACTCTTTTATAGCCACCATTAATAGAAATTCTCTCCGTAATACATTATGAACAACTAAATTCTATTCATGATTGATTCAAGTTGAAGCTTTTGGTTAATCACTATGAGATTACTAGTTGTTTTTCTAAACTTATCTCTAGTAAGTATTTTATATTTTTTTGCGTGATTGGTTTATAGTTGTATAATTAAATTAATTAGAATGTATGCTAGTTGTTTACTCATATTACTTATTTTTAGCTAAATATTCAAGTCCGTGTAATTACTTATC